TTTTTTTTAGCTAAGGCTGCTTCTTACAGTTTATGTGAACTATCATTTTAATACCCCTTTAATTTCCTTTACATACTTGCTACTCTCTCCTAAGTCCCCTCAGATATACAATTTATTCTACTAATGAGTAGAATTCTGCATCTGTAAAACTATGGGCTGAGTCATCTTCAGGTCATATTGAGAAAGACTGAGCTGTATCCCGAGAAATCCTTTTTACTGAAACTGCACTGTTTAAATAATATTGCCAGGAGTGTAAGCTACTGAAGTCAATCTGTTCTACTTTCCAGAAGACTCAGTAAACAAAAATACTTAGGTATAACATACTCACAAATATGTATCACGTCAGCATTTTATATTTTATGCTAGATATATTCTATTTCAACAATTAAACAATTAGGAGAATTCATTTTGCTTGCAAATGAGACTACTGAAAAAGGTAACTCCAAATAAATCCAGTCAAAAAAAGTAAGATCACTGCATCAGAGAATCACGTCTCTGACAACAGTGCATTACAGCTGATAATTCCAGTTATAAGTGCCTTGACACGTAGAGCAGTGTCTTATAGCACTTTAAAAAGGAAACAAGTGTGTTAAGTGTGGTTAGGCTGCGAAACAATTGTCCTTATTTAAAAAAAAAAAAAAAAAGTATTTATTTTCCTAATGTTTCTTCGGAAATTGTGCAGACGTACTTTTGTTATATTGTTAATCTATTTATTTATTTTGTTTTGTCTCTATTTGAAAATAAGTAAAATAAAGCAACGTCCCAAAAGTTTAAGAAGATTTTTATTTCAGTGTCAAAATCAGAGACTGTGTTGCACAGCTTTAGGTGCTGCTACATCTCCTGCCTATGATGTTAATATGTCAATTAAAATAACTTCATTTTGTGATCTAATTTGTGATCTAAGTATTGAAAAATATGACTAAATGATTCTTTAGTGACATGGACAACAAAAAATAACAAAAGAATGCAATTAGCAATAACGTAATCTTAATTTTAAAGAATTATTATGTAATACTACAAAGCACTTTTTAGCTATAGAGCATAAACACCATTGCACTTCTTTTAAATATACTTATCCTGGATAAAATGGGTATGTTACTGGAAACAATCCATGGTATCTGTTTACATTTAAGCATCAGTATCTTATAAATAGTCTTCAAAAAACACATGCCAGTATTACAGTAAATTCTGAGTTAAATGATTATATTTCGTATTTGCAGTTATTTCTGCAAATAAAGTTACTGCTTACTACACACAATTATTTTACTGGATTAGTATTCCTTAGCATTGCTTAATATAGATGCAGACTGTTTAATACTATTTACGTTAATAGTAAATAACTCACTAACATTTTAGTTCCTGAGAGCTCATGGAGGTCAATTTTTAAGCCTTCTACCACAGCAGTGATTAATTCAAATGAATATTTCCTTCATATTTTAGTGCAGGAGGATAGCAAGTCCTAGTAAGTATGTGACACAGACAATTCCCCAAAGCACAGAAGTATTAGAAGCAGCAGCTGAAGCAGAGGTAATGATTGCAAGCAATGCAGTGGAGAATGCAGAAGTAAGAATCATCAAACTAACTATTTTGAGGGCTTTGTCAGTGACTTGCTCTGAAACAGCTAGAAGCAGCCGTTGTTTAGAACTATCCGAAACTGAACAGAAGAAAATGCAGAAAAATGAAAGAAAGAAGAAAAAAGAACAACAGATCTTTTCCCAAAACAATAAAGGTAATTTGTTTTCTGGTAGTATTCAAATGTGACTGTCTTCAGATGCACAGCTGTTCCCTTTCTATGGTGTCTTTTTTTTTTTTTTTTTTTTTTGTAATGAGGAGGGCAGGGAAAACACTTTTTCACTGAAGAATAATAAATTATGTTTTGAACACCGGAACGAGGAGAAAGAGGTGGAGACCCCTTACTATGTTATGCCATAATATTCATTGATCCAAGAGGCAGGATAATCACTTGACATGTGGGAACACCTTTGCAGTCTTCATTCCTTGATGTTGAATGGCTTTCCCGCAGATACTGTGATTTCTGTATTTCTGTGGTTTGGACTATGCATAAGCTGATGAGTCTGAAAAGAACCTTTCTTAAGGAAAGTTAATGAAAGCTGTAGGTCTGCACAAACATGTCAACTCTTACACAAAAACCTATGTTTTGGCCATCTTAGTCATAGTGTATTATGTAGAATTTATGCTTCAGTGCAATGACCATATAGCACAAATACAGTTCCTCCTTGTAAATGTTAGCAGTGAAGAATCTCTACTGCGTATTTTCATATCTGTGTTTCCTTAAATCCAACCAGGTGCTGCAAGGAAGAGCCTTTTCCACAGCAGAAGCCACTCTCCCACTTACCTCTGTCTTCCTAAGTAACGCTCTTGCTGTAGCTTTCTGTTATTCTAGCTTTGTTCATGGAAGAAGTGAGGCTGAGGCTGATGCCTGGCTTTGCTTGCCTGAGGCGGTGTCCTGATTTACCTTGTCCTGACATGACTTTGTTGTTGCCTCCTGTCTGCTATAGGATGTTGTAATTAGGGCCTGCTCCTGTAAATATTGTGTATGTGGAATACTCATTGAATTATACTGAAGTTCTTAAAAAGATCTGATGTTTTCTTTATTCTTTTTTGAGTTAGGACCTTGTGTATTCTGTACTTAAAATATTTTTGATTGATAAATTATTATTATAAACTTCTAGCAAAATGCTGTCTGAAATGACCTGAAAGCTAGAATGAGACTGGATACGTGTCTGAAAGGGGGGAGCACACACTGATACAGTTTTGACTATTTTCAAATTCTACGTACATTTCAGGAAAGGAAAATTAGTATCATTCACTTAGAATATTGGCCACACAGAAAGTGGCAAAATGACAGTAATACACTTAGAATGCTAGCCATTAAAATATTTATATATTTAATTACTGCTTAGAAACAGCGTACATGACTACATAACTGTTCTATGCTTACAAGCATATAAGGGTTAAAAACTTAACTCAGAGCTGCCTCAGAAGTTACAGAAAGCTGGTCAGAAGTCATAACTTCACAGATACGTAACCATGTCCAATTTTGATCACCTTGAGTTTTGAGTTCTTGCAGACCTTTCGGTTATTGTTATTTTTCTTCTGTCATGTCCCTATTCAAGGTGTAGGTCCTCCTCATGAAGCCTGTAGAAATCCTTCCAGGTGGGATGAATTGGCTTCAACAGCCCCCAGATACATTAGTGAACTAAACATATACAAAAAGGAAAAATCTGTTTCCACTGATAGTGGAATACTGTATGCTTTATAAGTGTGCTTCACTGAGTTATTCACAAAACATCCCTGGTGTTTGCCACAGAAGACAAACATATGCTTTGTTATCCTTATTAAGGGAAGTTGAGCACGATGGCTATTTCAAATAAAAATGGCTTCAGAAAGTGAAAGGAGGCAACCTTGTGCCATTACAGACCTGTAGCTTCCTATGTAGCTGTGGTCCACATAAATCCATTATGGATTGCTTTATCTGTGTGTGTATGGATTTGAACATTGATTTCTTATTGTAGATCTTGGACCTTTGGTCATAGTGCATTTAAGTACCCTGGATGAGTAATGTAGGAGCTTGTGTGAGTAGGTGGAGACATAGCAGTGATTTTGCTGTCTTGATTGATGGGTATATATCAATGTCAATTTACTTTGATCTGAATGCAGGGGGAAAGAAATTGCCAGCTAAGAAGATACCACATCAAAATTCTTCATTTTTAAGCCTGCAGAATAACATGATTTCCCAGAAAAGAAATAAAGTGGCTCAGCGAATATTATCAGCAAGACTTCATAAAATTAAAGAGCTGAAGAATGAAATATTTGATTTGCAGCGCAAGTTAGAAGCATCAAACTTAGAAAACCAGGTTTTGAAACGGCTTTGGTATCGGCACTCAAAAGCAATAGGTGGATATGAAAATTCAGAAAGTGTCTTGCCTGATCTGTTAACAAGGCATTACAGTGAGGTGAGTACTTTGAGGAAACACCTGAGGATGTCTCAGGAGGAAGAAAGACGTGCATCCAGAAGGCTTAGGAAAGTTGAAGTGGAGCTGCTAAAAGCTAAAGATGATTTGCAAGCCTTGTATAAGCTTTCAGAAGACAAGACTCTTGCTGAGAAAGAGGAACTTTATCACAGATTATCAGTCCTTGCAGAAAAAATGGAAGTGAATAATAAGAGAATACAGGTAATATATACCTATCGTTTTAATTGTGTAAGAATAATAGGAGAGGTTCTGTGCAAAAGTAGTGGATGTTGGCTTTTTTAGTTGCTTCTCGTCAAACTGATGATTGTAATACAGTCCTCTAGCACTGAGTGTTCTTTTTAAGCTAGACATTAAGGTATAAATAATGGCAGTAGTACTCCTTCCAATATTTAAAAATTTGTCAGTAATGACTGAGTGAATTGAATCCAGCAATAAAGCTTTCTAAGAATTAAAGTCCTGTTTTAACCCTATTAGGTCAGAAGCACAGCACATAGCTGGAGGGCAATCCTCAATAGAATGTCTGCTCTACTTTCTGCCAGCAGCATGGAGTTACCCAGCCTTTCTTGGGCAGTCCAGCTGCAGTGGTGTGGAACTCCCTGAGCCCTGATTTGCCCTGATAAAACAGAGGGTTAGTCATACATGGAGACCACCTGGCTGCTGCTGGTCTGCTTCCTTGGACAAGAGAAGCTGGCTCAGTTGGAAACAAGCACTCTTCCTTCCATGTGGTGCTGGTGAGCACCATGGGTGTAGCTACATCTCCTGCTCACTAATTACTGTTACTCGCTGCAGTCCACTTTTAGAGTTGGCTCTATGGCTGATTTATTATGCAGGAGTAGTAAAAGTCTGCTGGGAGTTCAATAAGAGATGATCAAATGATCTTTTTTATCTTCTACATAAAGCTTTACTCTTATTGAACCTTTCACGAGGAAACAGGAATACAGGCCTTATTACAAAACCAGAAGAGTGAAATGTCTATTGTCCTCCAGGAATTAATTTCTGTTTTCTATGGAATACATTATTCACATGATTAAATAAAGAGCCAGGTAATCTTAGAGGCATTTCACTATCTGAGAAGCTGGGTTTGAAGTATTTTATTACCTGTAAGAAAATGAAAACGTAAATAGCTGAATTTAGACTCTTGAAACTTTCTATTTACAGGAGTCACAGTGAGAAGCAATAAAAAGCTTGCAGGATTGGGTTCTCACCCTACAATTTTATTAACTATCACTTCAGTGCGTAGCACTGGGTTGTGATGATAAAGTACTTGGTAAAGTACCTACTCTTCATTTACACTAAGCCTCTTTATGCTGCCATAGTAAATCGATGTTGATGTGAAATGAAGCGTATGAGAATGTCTTGAAGATGATTGTTTTCATTAATTTTATCAGAACAGTAATGTACAGGCAAATTTTTCATGTTGAAACGCCAGACGCTTTATTTTCTGATCAGTATAATTGGGTTTTAAGCCTCTTTTTGCTCATTTCTAAAGTTCTTTTAGAGATAATCATTTCATGCGTTGTTTGCAATAAATAGAAGGTTACTTTTCATTATATCAGCATGCTTATTTTTTAGATCTGGTAAGAATAGAAAACTTTTAACAGTCACACTAAGTACATTTATATTGTGAAACGTGTAATTTTTTTAAGAGCCTAGAAAAGCAGATGAAGTTGAACAATAGCACCTTTAGTCGCCAGCTGGCAAATGAGAATAAAAAAGCTGTTGAAGCTGGGATAATTACAAAGAACTTGCAAATGGAAATTAACTCTCTTCACCAAAAAATTAAGGTACTCAAGATTCTAAACAGGTTTCTGCTCCTACAGGAAGATTCGAGTCGTTAATTTTATCTTTTCGTTTGCTTCTTTCATTATTTACTAATAGAGTTTTTATTCATATTTGAGTCTGTAGTCTAACAAAAAAAAAGTCAAAATATAAAATTGTGAAATTGTTGTAGGGTCTGTTTGTCAAAAGTTAAAGGACTTCAGTAACTAACTGGAACAGATTAATGTATCATAATTTGAACAAATAGTACCCACCAAACTGTTACTGTTTTGTTAGATCTAGCTCAATATATCCACCCAGTATGAGCTTCCTTACAGGAACACTTTCAAATCAAAATAAGCCAAATATTACAATCTGAAAAGCAACAAAAAAGACTTATAAAAATGATTCAAGAGTTTGTTTCAAGTTTCAGCTTGTTTTCAACAAAAATATTTTTGGGACATCTGTGTCAACTTTAACACAGTAACACTTTACACTAAATGTATGGAAGAACATAAATGTGGCACTGAGTAGACAGAAAACAAAATAAAGTTATGTTAAGAAGAACATACATATCAAGAAAACATGGAAATCTTTGTGGTCTTTTTAATCTAAACTGTGTTTGTAGCATGGTTAAAATATGCTATTTATTTCTGTGACTGATGCATCTGTTGATTCCACAAGGAAACTTTCTCCAAAATGGAATCAGATGCCTGATTGTTCCTCTTGACGATGTATATGTATCTATGTGTGCAAATCTGGGAGATGGAAATAGTCACAGCCCTAGCAACATTCATGGAAAGCTGTTCTAGAATGCAAATTATTTTAAAGTACAGTTTCCACATAAAGACTTCTCTAAATATTTCTTCATGTGTTTTCTTAATGCTATGTTTAGATTCACGAAACCTTATATTGTTTTACCAGAAGGAGCAGACATGCTTATTAATCATATTTCTGTGCCAGAACAGTTTATTCTTACACATTTACAGTTCTGCACATGTGGCTTGTTCAGACCATTCAGGGCATACAGATGTAATTCTCATTCAGATCAACCTCTGTGCCCAAATTAAATGTAACTCCTTTTCAGACCAGGAATTGATTAGCAAGAATGTTACTGAAATTTAAGTATAAAAACATGATTCTTATGACAGTGATGTTGAAAGTGTTCCTCAGAAGCTTATGTCATGTTATAGAAGGCCTCATTTTCTGAACATTGTTATAAAGGTGTAAAAATGTGATTTTAGCCTTTAAAGGAAACAATTTTGGTTTGGCTCATGAAAGAAAACGGCTGATTCATGCTTAAGTGGATGACAAAGTCACCAAATGGTGTAGAACAAAGGAGTATTTTGCTGGCAGTTTTTTTCCAGCATAAGAAAATCAAATAGGTAAAGACTCATTCTTAACGCACTCAAAGAACTTAATAGCATTTATTCCTTCTTAGGAAAAGGATCGGCAACTTTACATAAAGAATATCTACGCAAATCGATTGCTTAGAATCCCAAAGGACAAAGATGATTCAGTACCTCATAACAAAAGTAAAGGTATATTTGTTTTCCCTCGTTATCTCATTATGTGAATCTTATATTGTCTTGTAATTGGGACGTATATTCCTAAGTAAAAGCAGAGACAGTACTTTTATATAAGCAAAAAATATTCTGACACGTATGCTTTAGGGGTTCTTTTATGCTTGTGTATTCTATGACTATTAACGTATGACCTGTGGTTAATACTCCACCCATTTTTTCATTTGAATAGTCTTTAGCATACGTACAGTTTTAGTACTGTAATAGAGACAATGAAATAGTGTTGCTATTGTGTCTATTTGCATCAAGAGCTGTTTGTCTATTTTAATAAGAGCATGAAGCAATCGCTCCACTTTTGCAGTCTGATTTTTGTTCAGGCTTGTTCGTTTTGATTTGGCCATGAGAAGTGGTCATCCCACAGCTGCAGTTCCAACATCACATCTCACTGAACCAAAGCACCTCACAAACTAACCTCATGCAGCAAGTTCCTAGTGTTAGTACAGACTTTCAAAGTGCTTTCAGATCAGTCAAAATAATGAATTTAGCTGGGTCTGGGTCTTTAGATGCTGTTTTTTTCTTTTTTTCTTCATATTTTTTTTTTCATTCTTAAAACCTCTAGCTTATTAGAAGCAGAGATGTTTCAGTGCCTATTATTGAAGCTTCTGCAGCTTGCATTTTGTTGTGCAGCAAGGAAGGGAGTGGATTTGAGGTACAAGGTTTACAAAGTTTAAAGGCTATTCTGATGATCATACTGTCAGTTTATCTGAGAGAAAAAGTCCACATCTTTAGCACTCTTTCGGTTTTATTCATAATAAGTAAATTTAAATAGGCAGTCAGACCTTGTAGTAAACCCATTATTGGATATCTTCTCAGTTATTTCCATGAGCAAAATTGATGCTATAGTAGAAAGACATAGCAAAATAATAGAAAGTTAATTCTATCAACAGGAAGAAATAACTCTTTAGTAAACTATTTCTTTTTTATGGATTTAGACGGGTAGCAGAGAGAAATTTATCATAGCCAAGTTTGTCTGTCAACCATTCCAGGAGCAGTTATCTTGTGTGGGATTCAGTTGCCTAATAATAGGCATCATCTGGTGGCATTTGAGCTGTTGTAGCACATTTGCCTGGCTCTGCAGTTGTTCCAGAAGGACACGGGTATCCCATCACTCCTGGGTAATGCTGGCCAGCCTTACGCAGATTCCTTGAATGCTACAGGCTGTGTCTCACATAGCATTAAGCATCTATGTTTGCTGACCCCTTGACCTGGAGGGAACAACTGCTAAAAACAATTATAAATCAAACAAGTTCAGAACTGCTTCGTTGCTCACATGCATGCTATCAAGGACAATAACGTTGAAGCAAGTATTCTTCTTGAAGCATTTATAAATTGCTAATTTATATATGCTTTGGATGTAGTATCTTGAATTTACTAATAGATGTGTTCTATGTGGAAGAAGTACATGAAAGATATTGAAGTAACATTGGCTTGCTACTCAAGATCAGAAACATTTTGCCACTATTCCATAGGAGAGCTTTTTGCATAGCAATCTTATACTCTCTGGTTTTGGATAATGATTGGAACATCGAATTTCCTGGCTTACTCAACTATTTAAAATATGCTTAAATATTCCTGCTTCTAAACTAAAGTAGGAAGTGGAACTTCCTTTGCAAATCCATTACTCTGCATTAGTGACATGTGAAATACAGAGATAAAGTTGGTAATTAAAATTTTAAGATGTAGAAAGAAATTGCTACTTCTTATTCCAAGTCAGACAAACTTTATTTATGAAGCACTGAATTCTAACTTTTGTTGTATCATATCACCATCTGGGTTGTTTGTTTTTTTTTTTAAACTTTACTGACGTGGACTTGTAGATTATTTAAATTTATTTAAATTGTAATATTAAATCACTGATTACTACTTAAGTTCTTAGCTTAAATGAGACCTGCTATTTTATGAATAGATTCCCAGCAACATTGTCTGTTCTGGTATTCTTGCCCAATAAGGATTTCATTTTGTGCCATTAATGGAAAATGATGATTTAGAAGCCTACAACTGGTAATAGCTGAAATTGTTTTTCCTTTTCACTGCTTGATTGAATTTTCCTATAATAAATTTGGAAAGAGCTACTTTTTCAAGGAGTTGTTTCCTTTGTGTATTTGTAAAAATTTTTATACAGCAGGAAAGCAAGCAATGTGTGGGTGCTTTTTTTTTTTAATGTTCTTGATAAGCAAGTGAAGATAGGTTTAGGGTATAAGAAAGCTCCATACATATAAGTAAAATAAAACTGAATTATTGAGTGAATCTGTTAAAGTTAGCTGTGAGAGCAAGCTTTGCTCAGTTGTTGGAAGGTCACACTAGTTCATCTAGAGGTACAGCTCCCCCTAGTTCTGAATCTGAAGAATGTTCTAGTGATTTTTGTTGCTTTTAAGTAACTACTTGGGTTCAGAAAACTATTTCCCTCCACATCATAAGTGCCATTTCTTCAGAGGTAATTTTCAAATTAGTTCTCAACATCCTTATCACCACCAAAAGGCAAGTTGAAAAATCACCCTTTTTGTGGATAGTCTTCCTCTGATTTCGGATATCAAAGCTAGGAATAAGGCTGAATGGTGATGTAGGTAAGATTACAGTTTTGTTCCTGTATTCACGTCAAAGCTGTTCCAAACATAGAATAAAAGAACAATACACAGGCCTTGCCCTGTCATCTCATCCTATTCAGGTACTTCTTTGAAGGGACTATTCAATTGCTCCCTTGGAACCTCCTTTCAAGTATCGGGGATATTTCACATAGTGTGAACTATTTCTCCTTAAGAGTCTGGTTCTGCAAAGCCTTATATAATTGCTTAACTTTGAATAAGTCAGAAGGCATAAAAACAAGCACATTTGTTCTGTAGGATCTGAATTTAGGAGCTTGAAAATTGAGGTACTCCTCCCAGACCTCTTAAAGTTTACATTAAAATATTACCATACAAACTGACCCAATGCAGGCTCTATGGTATTGACACATTTCTATGACATCACATGTCCTGTTTGAACAGGATCTCTTTGTAGACTAAGTAAAAAGTATATGTACAGCATACTAATGTACTGATGAAAGTGCTCAGGCCTCTGGGTAGGTAAACTCAGAACCTCTAATTAAAAAAAACAGTAACGTTCAGATGAGATTTTATTGTATCTTTGGAAAGACACAACACATTGGTGCCTCAAACTCAGCTAACAGTGCTTTAGCTATGTTAGTTACTCCTCCATTTTCATTCCTACCTGAAGCATGCCTTAATTGCAATAGAGATGCATACACATTCAGAATGCGGGATGTATTCTGGAACTTGAATTTACTAACATACACTTAAACTGCAAACTTCTCTTTAAAACAAGGCTTTAACCAACAAAACTTGAGTCTTAGAATGTTTGGGTCCCAATTGAATACCACTGTCATCAAATATATCTTTGCTTAAACCAACAATGTAATTCCAGAAACAACTACTGCTAATGACAGTCCTTTTGCAACAGGTCTCAGTATAAACACATCAGTGCAAGTAAATAAACAGCATTTTACATCACTGCTATCTCAGTACCAACCCCAGGAAACAGAAGAAAGTACAGTTCTGCTACATGAGGTATGAAAGATTGGGATCCAACTCCTTCGCTTAAATTACCTCTGAAGCTGTATGGTTTTTCTCCATTTTAGTAATGTACTTGATTGGCCTGAACAGTGATCTTAAGTTCCTGTGCATTTTGTGTAAATATTACTATATAATAGAAAATATGTTGGACAGAAGTTGTCATACAAGGAACTCAAAAGAAAATACTCATCTTTTTGTAAGTGTTGTACTGATTGGAATCTTTAGAAAGTACCTGAACAAGTATTTCCCTGTATTTTTACCTTTAATTGTCAATTATAGGAGGAAAAGGCATCAGAAGATAAGAATCAAAAAGCTAAAGCAAGCAAAGCATACACTGATGCCAAATGTGAAACAGAAAAGCAGTCATCCAAGAAAATACCAAAGCCAGAAAATTTTGGTCGAACTCATGGAGGTATGTTTTAATATCTAAGAAATGCATCTGATCTTTTCAAAAGTTGAATGAACTGATGATAATGGTAATTTACCTGAGCTGGCATATGACTGACAGTAACTACAAGTCACTGAAAGCAAGTTGCTGGAGGTGCTACACTGACAGCAGATCAGCTCCACAGCTTAAGGCATCTTCATACTGCTGGACTTCTAAAAGCAGCTCATGGTTGTGTTGGTAAAATTTCTGAGCTTAATCTGTAAAAGCATACTTTACTTAATGGTCGCTTTGTTAAATCCATGCTGATCAAATACTGATCCCAAACTGCTGGTTGTGAATCTGCATCATAGTAGATGTCAACAGATTTTTCTGGCTTGGGATCTATTGCTAAGAAAGGAAAAGGAGTTCTTCAAGGGCTGAGAGTATCTCCTCATTACAGTGACCACTGTAAACAGATTTTATGCAAATCTTAACCATTGATTGTGATCTCACAAAGGCCGTATGCAAGGAACTCATCTATAAACAACTTAATTATGAAGAGGTTCTGTATAACAGATGAAAGAGCAAGCAAATGTATCCTTTTAGCTGAATATTTTAGAAAACCCTCATTTTCTTTAAATTGAGGCAGGTAGATAAAACTGAGATCTGAAATGCTGTCAAGCTAGATGCTTCACAAATGGTAGGAGACATGATGTGAGCTGAATTTCACACATTTACAAAGGTGTGACAGATTGCTGAGGTCACCTACTGGATCAGTAACAGAGCTAGTGATAAGAAATGTTTTAACTCCTGCAGTTTATACTCCATCTTTTCAGCCTGAAACCTTTCCAGAGCCCATTCATGAACCAACTCAGTCCTGTGTTGAAAAACTGCAGTATATTCTGCTCCATGCAACAAGCATGTTGCCAGTTAAAGGGGAAAAAAAAACATTCCTATATTTAAGCTCGATGTAATAGCAATAGAATGACAATTAGGAGTTCAGAACTCATGTGATTTCCCTGATACTTTATATGCAACTTCTCTAGCACTATGTTTAGCCTGTGAAATACTTAATACAGATTATACTTGTATGCTAATTAATTGAAGCAAGTATGTCAATGACATAATGATCTTAACAAAACCTTGCCCCATCCTGTTATTAGTAAATAGCACTGTCCTAACCATCAGTAGCAACTTAAGAAATAATGCAGTAAAATTTGCTCTCATTAATGCTGCATGACTGTTTGTGATCCTATATAATTTAAGAACATTCCTAAATCCCTTAATATTCATTTTAGAATATTTAAAGGAAAACAAACCGCAGACAGCACACACTTGTCTGGAATTTGTAAAACAAGAAAGAAAGAGAGACTTCCTTAAACAGAAGAAAGCTGAAGAAACTCTGCTAAATGACAGTGTAAAAGAGAACAGTCAAGAGGAAGATGCAGTGGAAGAGAAAGAAAAGAAGTCAGAAGAACAACTAACAAGAGGGAAGGCAGGGAGTAATTTTTTAACTCCAAGAAACAAAATGCTCTCTAAGCTGAAAAAACAATACGTATTCTCAGAAACCACTGAAAATTTGTATCACGGGCTTCCTACATCAGGTACAAAATCCACAAAATGCAGTCTTTGTAACAACAGACACTCAGGTCAGGACCACTGCAAAGAAGAATCAAAAGTAAAGAAACTGTCTGGGCTACACGAACCACCCTTCAGTAAAGTTACCAACATAAGGCAGAAAGACAGTTTGACTGAAGCAGAAGGCTGTGCTCATACAATATTCAGGGAAAGGAAGAAGAGTCTTATGAAAGAACTCTTTGGACAAGGCAATGTTTGCAAAGACAGCCATTCATGTTCTAACACGAGAGGAATGGAGAGAAAGCTGTGAGGGGATGCATGATTACACAAGCGAAATGTTAATCCTCCAATGATTTATAAAATAGTGTCTATCATCAATGAGTCATTATGAATAACCTTATAAGAATACACTAAATTCGTATCTATGAAGTATATTCAGCTTACCTTTCCATTTCAATTACACACTGTTTTTAGCTTCATAAAATGTATATAAAATCTTAGAATTTTTGAGAATTTCTGTCATTGACTTTCAAAATGAGAGGCAGATCAGCTGTCACAGCAGAACATTTTTATTATTGATGCACATGTGTACATTTTTGGGTGCCTCAACAATTTTGTCATTTTACCCATTATAGTGAGGTATCCAAGTTAGTCCTTTTTGGTTAATTTTTTGCATTCTCTCTGCAGTTTGAATCTTAAGTTATTTGTTAACTAGCTGCAGTGAGCAGTCTGCTTTCAAAAGATTCTTCACTGAATTGCTACCTAAAATGTACTGAAAGAAAATAATTTTCTTTTCACTCCTGACATAGCTTCCAGAATTCACACAATAATTTGCTATTACATTGTTTTCATTAGCATTATAAAGCTCTAAAGCTCCATTCTTTTCCGCTGTTAAAACTTACCAAAGCAGTTTGCCTAGTAACTACCACAGCTGACATCCAGAATTGAATGTGCAAGACTAAAGCATTGTTCTGGACAAGTCAGGCATATCTAGTTCTCAAAAAGTCTTTAAAAATCTTGCATTTAAGGTTATGTAAGTAAGGGTAGGAAGATTATGTCTTGTTTCTGGTGGAAATTCATGAAAGGCTGCTAGAATGTAAGCTAGGAAAAAGGTATTCTACTAAATTTTAAAGAGCAGTAGCAAAAAAAAAAAAAACAAAAACCCACAACACCTGTACTATGAAAACTTCTAAAGGCAATTAAGATATTTTGAACCTACTTGTAAGCACACTTATCTTCAAGTTAAGTTCTTTAAGTAGTACTTGAGCTGTGAAGCAGACAGATTTTTCAAGAATGATTTAATGCAGTCAAAAGAGTACTTCTCCTCTATGTACTATTAACACTTCTACAATCCCCTTCCTGCTGTCTCCAAAGTTAAGAGCAAACAAGCAGACATAATCCAGCATCCCTGCTTGTACTAAATCACCAAAAGCCTCTCTGCCCCTATTCGTTTAGATGTCCGACCAGAGCTGCCAACAAACTGTATTTCATTATCTCATACTAACTGTGGATAAATAGCAAATGCCTTTGTCAATATTCTAAATGATACTGCTTTTCTTGACTTCACTGTGTTCAACTCTGTAACAAGCTAAGTGGCAACATCATAGCTTTTATCTTTATAGTCAGAAATACATCAACTGCATAGTTAAAAAGTCTGTAAACTCCAACACTATGAAGAAAACAGGTGGGTTTTATTTTGTTTAGGAAAACTGTAATTAACATTAAAAATGTGGATTAGAAAACCTGAGGTGGACTGAAAAACTTTATTTCACAAATAAAAACACAATTACATGTAACAGATTCAATCTTGACTTTTTTTTCTTGTCGATATTTAATGCTTTCACTTTACTGTTGGCTAAATGCAATCCCTAATATAAAAACAAATTAGTTTTTAAATAACATTTAAGAAAAAAAAAAAACAACATTTAATGAATACATACACTCAGACATGCAGAAAATGTGTCATCATTCTTTGAATTAATTCTAAAGGCAGTTCTAAATATATGGATGCACTCCAGCCACTTCCTGCAGCCAGGCAAAGGACCTGAAATAATACAACACTGTATGGACCACGAGCTAAGCCAAAATCTGCAAAAGCTTTGTTCAACCTTATGTCCAAGGAGGTATTATAGAGCTTTTTAAAGCCACTGCTTTGTCTGCTGGAACAGATTGGTTTGCAGATAGCACAGAAGTTAACACAGCTTTTCTGTTGTGTAACTGCAGTACTGGGAAGAATTACTATCATTAATGTATGCTGAAGCTCTAGGGATGTAGTTTTCTGCAGAATCAACTGCTTTCTACTTTTCCTAACATGGAGCTTGGAAAGCTTGGTGGACCCTTTTTCCAAAAGCATGGAAGGAAATACTGTTAGCAGTATTTGCTCCGCTTGGGAAGTAGAAAATGAGGCAAGGAAGGAAAGGTCAGTTATCAGTAAAAGTAGTGGGGAAAGAAATTAAAAACAAACAAACAAACAAAAAAAAAACAACCTAGTGTTCAATAATTCCACAAGGAATTTTAAAAATTTTCATTCCATGAGGAATTTAAAAGAAGTGTTGAAGTGACCGGCTGACCTGCATTTGGCAATTGAGAAATTAATCTAAAATATAAGAAGTTGATTCTGCATATATATCACTAATATTTTCTCAGATAGTCTGAGAATAACCCAATCTACAGATAAAAAAAAAAAAAAAAGGAAATTCTGTTTTATTCTAAAACAACCATACTACCTATTTTGATTAAATACCACTTGTCACCAAATGGAATCACATCTTTGGGTGAAAATGCTGTACTATACAGTAAAGAAAGAACAAAAGAGCAAAGCTCCAAAAAATACTAATGCCAGTGCATTTCCAACTTAACAGCTGGAAAAAGAGAACACTAAGACCTTTGCGAATACATTATGACAAAGCCTTAAGGTTCTGCCACCAATCAATGTTTATCTGCATCAAAATGAGGTTTTATAAATATCAATGCAGCTCTTTGAAAACTGCTGATCATAAAACCAAAAAAAAAACAAATAAATGAAAGAAAGTAAAACCAATACTGCCCAACATCCAACTAAAGTAACAAGAAGTGTCTCCAATCTGGTCCATCATAACAGACAAATGTTTTTTTGTACTGTGGTAGTTTAGACTCCATATACTACAGGGATTTCTTCAGCTGAAAGGGTGAAGCATGATAGCTACAACTTTATTACAAACCACAAGCCAACATGTAATTCCAACACCACCTGAAAGAGATATAAAATTTGACTGAAGTTATTGCATCTTTAGCACGCAGATTAAACAACTTGGAAACAAAAAATGAAACAGTGAGGAGGTTGATGGGAACAAAATATCTTTCTGTCTAGATGCAAATGATTTTCTTCAAGGCATGCCAGTTAACTGCATGCTAGTTTAGAGAAAACCGAAGGCTGGGGAAAGAGCAGCAAATAAAAATATGAGCCAAAAATATGACCCATGATTTCTAAAAATATTCACTATGTCCCTATCCAAGAGGCCTAGGTTGCTGAAATTAAAGGTGTGGTAAATAAAGAGTACTTTGGAATCTAAAATTAGAGACTAGGAAGAGGAAAGAATTTCCCAATAAATTCAAATCAGCCTTCTTAAAGAGTATTAAATCCATACTTCTGTCCTTTCTCCTCATCCCCATAGAACTGAATAGAAAAATCCAAATGAGACTTTCAGTACTGAACCAGACCTCTTTCACTTGTGTTTTAAAGAGTCTTGTCATTCAAACTAACAGTGTGGAAATTTGTACTGGAATGATAGCATAGAGAGTGTACCCCAACTGCAGTACATAGCATATCTGTATCACAGCCTGCATAGAATCATACAACATAGTATCACTGAATACACAGCTATTTATTATGTGTACTGGAAGAAACTACCTTCTGGTGATTTTTAAATACTTCTGTGTTATTAACTTCATCGCCTAGAATTCAGAAGTAATCTCTTCACTTTGGTTATAAACCAAGGTTAAACAAAAAGAGAACCTGAAGGCAGGTAAGGATATGAACCTTATAAAATTCCTTAAAATACTATTTAAATAACTATCTTCCAAGGACTCATCCCTGGCCCTAAACAGAAGGGTCTACTTGTCCACTAAACACGCTGGATACAAAGCATTCTCTCAACAGCTATTAAAGCTGGTAAGACAACATCATAATTTGGAATTCACTCCAAGGCAGCTGAAGCTTAAAAAGCCTACTATGAAGATTCACCAGCAGCATTTTATCTTCATAGTACATTTCCACACTGCACTGTCCTGTCATCCTGCTTATTTTTTCAATTAGAATAGAGGCAGCACACATTTCACTCAGGTATGCATAATCTGTCACATCCTTCTTACCATTAATTCATCAACCAAGAGAAAAGGGTTTGAGTAGGTAAAGAAGTGCAATGAGGGGAAAGAAGGTGGGAACACCAACCAGAAGAGAACGCACCTCAATCATCCCAGAGCTATAAACTAGTAAAATTTCATAGTAGTGTAAGAAGCATGTGTAGGTAATACAGACCCATAAGTATCTGCACATTTTTGAACTCAATTCTACTATTTCAATCTAAATAATTTCAAATTAAAACAAAAATATTTCTGATTTGAAACCTTCCCAAGGGTGTATTCCATACTAAAATAAAACTGCTCTGTTTGAGAAGATTTAATAAAGACAAATATCCCCTTTCGTTGCGAGTTCATTAAACACGAGCTAATCACATATGATAATGTCTGAAGCTCCCCATTTTGCTATTAAGAGATATACAGAAGCAGTGCTTTTAATCCACACGTACTCTTTATCATTACATTCTTAGCAACCGCACAGACTTGGAAAATGCATTTTCTCTACCACACAGCTCTTACCTGCCACACCTGTAGGAAAGGCTACCAAGCGCTCCAATGGTGCCAGCCATTTGCTTGGAAGAACCATAACTGGTTCAGAATAATATTTCCAAATGAGAGAAATCATCAGGGCAGCCTAGAAAGAAAGTTTTTGTTAGCTTGAATAACAAACATCGAAGTATATTGCCACCAATGTTTTGAAGCAGTACATCTCACAGTCTAAATTAAAGAAAATAGCATTCTTATTATTTTACATTGTTCGGAAACAAATACAAAAGAATTTTAGGCTTGATATGACCTTAACTTTACAAACAACAAGATTTAGCAATAAGTAGCTGAAAATCACCGCTTTATTTTGAGGCTGGTTCAAATCTAGCATGAATAAAAGTGGTAATAATACAAATTGTTACGTTCTGATGACTGTTTTTAACCACAGTCCTTGTCTGCTAAGAATCCAACTAACTTTCACATTACCCAAAACATCGTCTTAGGTTAAGCACTCTTCTTATGGGCAAAAAAAGTTGTTTGGCATCAAGCCTGAGCAACAATGTGGTACAGGAGGCACTGTGTGGAGACACGTGGCAGCTCTATATGGAAATCTGCATCCACAGCAGAAGAACATTTTATGTTTTCAGAAACACAAGCAAAATATATATATATTACATATCAGAACTTTCCTGGGTCCACTGCCACGTATAGATGAAAAACAAACCAAAAAGAAACAGTAATGAAGGAGGTAAGACAAACTCCTACCTTGTCATCTCAATACCAGAAAAACAAAGCTGACATGAAATTCAAAACTCATTTCATTCACAATAACCAGACCCTATCAGCTGCATCTCTCTACAACTAAGAAATTGTTCTGGTTCGGTGTGCATTATGTCACTGGGCTGCCAAATACCTGTGCAACTAATCATCAGTCAATAAACACAAAAGAGATTCATCACACTGCTAAGGATTTAGTCCTCAAATTTGTATCCCTAATAGAAGATTTACTTACTTGCAAGATGTAGAATACAATATTTATAACCCACTTTATTTTGGCTAATTGGGCAGTTCGCGCTTTCACTGTTAAGAGAAAAATAATATTACTCTGCATTATTTATAACAGTCAGAAAAGTAGTGATCCATTAATATTATTAGTCTTCAAATCAGGGCACTAAATAACATACACCTGTCTAAAAATATCTCTTCAAGATAACTTATTGTGAAAGCAATGAAGAGCTAGATTCTGGAGTTTTACATTAATGGTACTGTGGAAAGTTGTAAAACTCTGATATCCTAGACAGAAAAGTCACATGTAATCAAGAATGCTGGTTCTGAAAT